AAAGTTTAATAAATGAAGGAGTGTAAAGATGATAAAAAAAAAAATATATATATAAAAATAAAATGAAATAAAATAAAAAAGTACAAAAATAAAATCAACAAAATAATAAAAAAACGTGTTTTTGACCACAGGCGATATGACAAAGGGAAAAGGGTCATTTATGTGTGTGAATATATGTACAAAAAAAATAAAAAAATAAAAATAAAAAGGGAGTTGAAATGTGTCACTGCATAGAATAAAAAATAATAATAAAAAAAAAAATGAAATAAAATAAAAATGTAAAGCAACATTTTAATAACTTGCAGAATATGTCAAAGATATTTTTATATTTATCTATCACCATATATATATCTTTATCTAATCTAACTATCTTTTTCTATCTTTTTCGTAATGGAATATTTCACGATGTAATTACGAAATGAAAATTTCTCTCCAATTTTTTTTTTTTTTTTTATTAAATATTCGATCATGATAAATTGTTATTAAAATATTTATATATATATATATAAAGGAATAATAATAAAAAAAATAATTTATTTTGTATTATTTACTTATATTCTCGATTAATTTAGGATCGTATAACATTGGTTTACGTTAAATCGAATCAGCCAATATTTGTTTACATTTTGAAATTTGACACATCGTATAATAATTATTAAAAAATAAAAAAATAAAAAGAATAAGTTACAATATTCGTTTATGTTCAATCGAAAGTTTTTATTTATCATATTATTTAATAATAATAATAATAAAACATATATATTGAATGTATTTTGAAATTTGATTACAAATAAGAGAAACACAACACGTTAACTGAAAATCTTGATAAAAAGATTTATGATGTTTATTATAAACATGATGCAATATCACAATATCACACGTGTAACACAAAACTCATTGAAATATATTCTATTTGAAAAATGTATATAAATAAAAAGAATGCACTTCTCGTACTCGTCGATCGATTAATCCAATCTCGAAAAAATGAATGAAATCAAGTAACAAAAATTAAAATAAAAATAAAAGAAATAAAAAACAAAACCGATGCATTTGCAGTTGCATGTTTATCGATAAAGAAACTTAAAACATATATTGACATTACAATAAAACAATTTTTTAAAAATAATTATTGAAATGATTGAATACGAAATATAATTGGGAGAAATAGAAAAAAAAAAAAACAAAAACCATAAAAGAACTTGATAAATATTAATATTACAAATATTTCATTTTATAATTATAATTAATTAATTAATTAATTAACATTTTTATAATAAAACCAGAAAACTAAAGAATTTTAATATTAATGTTAAAATATTTCATTTTAATTATAATTAATTAATTAATTAACATTTTTATAATAAAACCAGAAAACTAAAGAATTTTAATATTAATGTTAAAATATTTCATTTTAATAATAAATTAATTAAATTTTCATTTTTGAAAAAAAAAACCACAAATAAAAGAACTTGATAAATATTAATATTAAAAATATTTCATTTTATAATTATAATTAATTAATTAACATTTTTATAATAAAACCAAACAATCAAAGAACTTTAATATTAAAAACTTTAGTAGAAAATATTTTCATATTAATATTAAAAATATTTTATTTTAATTAAAATGAATTAATTTTTCATTTTCCAAATGCAAGAAAAAAGTAGAACTTGATGAATATTAATATTAAAAATATTCCATTTTAATTAAAATTAATTAATTTTCCATTTTTGAAATAAAACCAAGACAAAAGTAGAACTTGATAAATATTAATATTAAAAATATTTCATTTTAATAATAATTAATTAATATTTCATTTTTCAAATAAAAACATAAAAGAACCTGAAATTATTAATATTAAAATTTTCTATTTAAAATACAAACGAAACTTTTTATTCATATATATATATACACACACAATAGAATTTCGTTTTTACCCCCACTTTGTTTCTATTTAATCTCTATACCCCTCTACTATTACAATCCCCACCACCACTACTACCACCCTTCCCCTTTGAATAATGTACCGACAGCTGCGAGAGATTGCATAATCGATAATATTATATAACTCGTTATTGTCGTTACATAAGCACGGTGCAAACATTTACATAAATATTACATACAAAGAGAGGTGTGTAAGAGTACGAAGGAAGCAGATATCCAATGACTTTAGATCACGACTAATATATATATGTGTATATGTGTATGTGTATGTGTTAATATTTTTACGTGTGTTAGGTGTTACCATGTAATAATATATTTTATGTTATTTTATGTTTCATTGCATTACATTTATTTTATTTTATTTTTTATTCAATTTTCATTTTTTTTTTTTTTTCAACATGTGAATGTATGCGAAAATAATATTGTTTTATTATTATAATTTTTATGATTAATGAAAAAATATTTTATTATAAAATTAATCTTTTAACACTTTGTTGACCGGTCCCAAGTTAACTCGTGTTTCTGTGGCCGAACGTTGCTGACCGGTCACGAGTTAACTCGTGATGCACTTTTTCTTTCCCATCACGTTATTTAAAAGGAAAACGCAGCGAAAGTAAATATTATAATAATAACAAATTTGTTTGTACTATTGTTATATTGTTTATCATAACAAGAAGAAATATTCAAAGTAAAATTCATTTAAAATTACTTCGATTGTTTTAATTTTCAATTCAATTGCAAAATAATAATAGCCAGTGAGACATGAGATAAATTCTTAAAAAAAAAATAACCTGTTAACAAAGTGTTAATTAGTAATTTATTATATTATATTAGGTCATTAAATATGAAATGTCTGATTTCGAGATGAAATTAATCCGAGTAATCAGACATTTCATAGTTAATAACCTAATATATAGTAATTATATTTTTATTATAATATTAATTTAATATATTTAATAAGTATTTTATAATTAATATTTTTTTATTAAATATTATTATTATTACACGAAAGACAATCTAAATGATCATATATTTTGCAAAAATTTCTCATTTTTATTTTTAATTATAACACATTTTGTTATAATTATCCAATTGTGACAAAATAATTTCTAAATTAATTTATTGATTTTATATAAATATGTATGTGTCTGTATGTGTGTTTGGTAATTATAACAGTGAACTATGCAAATTGAAAACATTCATTTTATGATTTATACTATGTTATAATTATAAATTTTATATTAAAAATAATATATATATATGTATATATATGTATATTAATATAAAGAACAGTAATATAAATTAAATCACAAAATCAATCTTTTCAATTTGCATACCTCACTCCAATTCATAATTATCGGTAACCAATCACACACATATATACACATAATATACAATTTTTCATTAATACATACATACGTGTATTGATTTTTGTTCTTATATTTCCTATATAAATTTAATTAATCTCCTATGTGCACCCCCCACTACCCACTACCCTTCCTTCCCACCCTTACATGAATGCTCGTGTTTATTTTTTGTTATAAAAAATCATTATTCATTTATTTATATTTATTTTCTTTAAAATCAATCTTCACCCCCTCCCCCACACACACATAGTATGGCAACCGTTTCATAGCTTCGTTACATAGCTCCGTTTCCGTTTATTTACTTTTCAGATCACTCCCATTCTAAAGAAGTTTTCACTTGAAAAAATAAAATAAAATCAAATACAATATTCATTTATAAAAAAAGAAATAGAGGAGAACAAAATGGCAGATGGTATAATAATAATTATTCACAATTAAACACGTTCGTCGTTCAGCGCGTTTCGGTTGAGTTTCTCGTCAGGCCCAAAATTCGACTGTCGGCGTGCCGTAACGTAAAGAAGCGATTAGTAGAAATATCAACAATGCGACCACAGTATTATTGTTATATTATATTATATAAATATATAATATATCGCCATCTGTTAGAATTTTATCGAATTAACTGAGATAATCATGACTCTTTGTTAATAAACAAATAATTCGCAATAAAATAATATTGCGATTATAAATTAAGATATAAACTATCCTATCTTTCAAGTTGAATGAAACTGCATACAGTGTGTAAAATTTTATTCAAATCGGCTCAGTAGTTTAGGAGTCCATTGCGGACAAACAACGTGACACGTATAATTTATATATATATATATAAAGATATTATATAATATATTTTATTGACCGAAAATAATAAAATATAAAACTTCAACAAGAAGAGCGTCACCTTATGCGGTGACAAAACCTCCGAGAAAGCATACCCGTCACCGTATATGGTGACATGGCGACGAACGTGTTAAATTACAATTTAAATTACAATTTAAATCATTTTCACATTTAACATTTTATTTGAATATTTTCTTATTAATTTTGTTTTACTTTCTATTTATAATTCAGTAAAAGTTTTATCTTCAAGTACGTTGAAGATGATATTTTTTTTTTTGGAAGGGTTGGAAAGTACAGGAAGAGAGAAGGGGGTGTACTGGAGGGTGAGAATCATCGTAGTTAGGTGCTAAAAGTGACGGATAATTGCTTGTAACTCTTTTTCATTCTAAGGGTTGTATATTCGCATAAAATATTTCTTTCATCATTATTCGTTAACTTCAATAGTTGATGTGTTGGTAGAAAAGGTGAGGAGGAGGAGGAGGTGGAGGGGAAGAAAGAAGTGGAAGAGAAGGAAGGAAGAAGACCTCGTAAAAAGTTGCTAAGGTAATTCTTGTGGAAAAAAAAAAGAAAAAAGAAAAAAGAAAGAAAAGGGAGTTGAAAGAAGTGAGGGTGGGTTGTGGTGGAAGATAATGATGGCCGATGAACCAACAACAACAATCCAACCCAACATGAACCGGTTTTTCGTTGGTCGTTCAACGCAACTCAACACACAACGTTTGAAACAACTTTAGAAAAATAAAAAGAATGAGGAGTAGGAAGAGGAGGAGGAAGAGGTGGGGAGGAACATTAAACTCATGAGGAAAAATTAATCGACAAATAGCTCACCTGGTCAGCCATATTGTAACCGTCGTTCAAGGACAAATTGAGATTGTCGTTTCTCTGTAACAAATGAAGAAGAACAAATATATTTATTATGAGTTTAGATATTAATAAATCTGACATAATGATACATATATATATATGTATATGTATGTATGTATAAAAGTATTAGGTAAATTGTTTATGAAATATATAAAAGAAGAAATATATAAAGAAAGAATATAAATCGTGACGTAAGACCATCAGTGTGTGTCACATTTTCATTTGATAAAGTATGAAGTAACCCATGAAAGTAAATGAGAAATAATATAGGTAATAAAGATTCCGCGTCAAGTCAACATTTTTATTTTTATTTCTTATTTCTTATTTTTATTATCATTATTATTACGTTTCTTATATGTGTCAACGATTATTTCTTGTTTTTTTTTTTTTTTTTTTTTTTTTTTTTTTTTTTTTTTTTTTTTNTTTTATAATTAAACTTCGTTCAATTTTATTTATCGTTTTTTTTTTTTTAATTTCCTTTATAATTATATTTTATATAATTTTTGTATAATTATTCTTAATAATATTTTAAATAGTAATTTATGTAATTTTTTTTTAATAATATTTACCTATAATATTTTATGTAATTTTTCTTTATAATATTTTATATAATTATTTTTATAATTTTTTATTTTAATATTTTATATAATATTTTAAATAATATTTTAAATAATATTTTAGATAATTTATCTTTATAATATTTTAAATAATATTTTATACAATTTTAATAGAATTTTTTTATAGAATATTTTATAGAATCTTTCTCTTATATATTATTATTCATAATATTTTATACAATTTTGTTAGAATTGTTCTTTACAATATTTTAAATATTATTTTATAATAATTCTTTTCTAATTATTCTTAATAATATTTGAAATCATATTTCATACAATTATTCCTCATAATATTTTCTATAATATTTATTCTATAATTTGTTTTTTTTTTTTTTTTTTTTTTTTTAAACAATCATATTTAATTAGATTCGTCAATCATCTTCTATTTAAACCAAATCTCTCTTCTTCTCTTCATATTTCATTAATGCCCATACGATAAAGTTCAGACTACAAATCACCGCCGCTGTTACTATTACAACTACTACCCCTATTGTATCCTTTTCCCTTGTTCGTAAATGAAAACTTAATGTAATAAAATTGAACAAAAGCTGCGACTATGACGACTACTATAACTATGACTATGACTATTACTATGACTACTACGAAAACGAGGAAAGTTATAATTCGTAATTAATAACCCTGTCGTCCGATAAATTCAATGTCCAATTTTCAAGCGACAAGCTCACACAAATTAGACAGAAAGAGACAGACACAGAAATACAGAAAGAGACAGACACAGAAATACAGAAAGAGACAGAAATAGAGAAAGAGAGAGAGAGACAGAAATAGAGAAAGAGAGAGAGAGAGACAGAAATAGAGAAAGAGATAGAGAGAGAGTTACAATTTATGATTTGCAATACGATAAATATAATATCGTCGGAGGATAAACGTCGCATGCGGAATATCGTAATGGGAATGATAAAATATTGCGATTCGACAAATATGATAATATAACATTATTATATTTACTAGTTCTAATTGGCCGGGGCAATTAAATTACCGATGGATAATTTGCATTTCGTGTATGCGTACAGTATTTACCGCGTTCGATCGGAACACTCGATTGCTTTAATAGATCCTTAATATGTGTGTATATTTGAGTATGTGTATGCGTACCATGTTTCTCTCTTTGTCTGTCTGTCTGTCTGTCTGTCTCTCTCTCTCTCTCTCTCTCTCTATTTCATTCTGTCTGTGTGTGTGTATATGGATGTGGGTGTACTCGCAGTAACTCTGTGTTTATATTTCAAATATAAATAGATAAAATGAATTAATAATATTAGTATTTCGAGATATCTCCAATTTCTTGTTTTATTCAAATTTAAACAAATAATAAATAATGATTATAAAGGAAAAGAAAAAATACAGAAAAAAAATAAAAGGAATGGAATACATCAGATAATTATTATTATGGTAATAAATGTTTAATGATATAATCAATGTTTAATAAAATATTTTTAGAATAATCATTATGTTTCAAAAGTTTTCACCATTTATCAAACGTACCTAATAATAATAATAATAATAATTATTATTATTTTATTAGATTTAATTTTATTTTTAATAATAATTTTATTATAGATATATTTTTTATTTATAATACTAATTTTATTAAATTTATTTTTATTTATAATACTAATTTTATTTATATTTAATAATATATAATATATTTTATAATATTAATATATTATAGTATAGTATATAAAATATAGTAATCTAATTATTAATTATTAATAATAATTATTAACAATTATTATCTAATTATTAATACAATTATTGTATTAATATATATAGTAATAATTATAATAAATAAAAATTAATAAATAATATAAATAATAATATAGTGTATATAGTGTAATATAGTATATTAAATAATAATAATAATTATTATTATTATAAATAAAAAAAAAGAATAAAATAATATTACTGCTATGGTAATAAAATGTTAAATAATATATTTTAACAATAATATAACATTTTTCATAACCATCCCCATTTATATATAGCAAACGTTTCTAATGATAATAATAATTATTATTATTATTATAAATAACAAAAGCACAAAGTAATAAAATAATAATTGCTATCGTAATAAATGTTTAAACGATGTTTTCAAAATAATATCACGTTTTAAAGCTTTCTACATATTTCGTGTTTCTATCTCTTTATTTTTTTTTTTTTTTAACATAAATCATTCATTGCAAAATTCATTTTGTTTCTTATTTTTGTTGTTCACTGTTTCAAAATTCGTCGAGACGATTTTTTCTATAGAAATATATTTCTCTTCTTTATGTCATTTCAATCATCATCTAATGAAATATATACTCATATATTTGTAAATATAAATCATACTGTGTGTGTATGATTTGTTACAATTTATTTTGTTTTACAAGAATTTATTCGATAAAATATATTCAAGATAAAAAAAAAGAAAAAAGAAAAAAAAAGGAAGAAGTGGGGAATAAAATTTGTAATTTAAAATTTCGATTTTAAATATTTGATTAGAAATTCTTGTAAGTTTGTTTTTTTTTTTTTTTTTTAAATTTAAATTTCTTACCCATTGAGAACTTATGATAATTATCAATGGTATTTGATTTAATTAACCTATGATCTCACTTTTAATATTACCTTTGGTTATTTGCATTTTAAATAATTTCAAAAAAAAAAAAAATAAAATAAAATAAATAACTGTTCTTTTATAATAATTAGTTGTCATCGATGTTACGTAAATGTTTGTTCGTAGTTGGGTTCGTTGTCAAAGTTCGATTGATGGAAACATACTAAATGTTAAATAAATAACAATGAACTTTTACCTTAAGGCAAAGTTTTAATACATTTGCAAATGAGGGGAGAATGAATAGAAAAATATATCAAGGTAAGAAGAAGAAACGATACAAATGTATAAATGTATAAAACATGATTTCTTTCTATTTTTTTTTTTTTTTTTTTTTTTTTTTT